GACTAAACCCTAAAAGGAATAGGTTTGGGTGGCTTTGCCGCCTTGGACGGCGTGGGGTGTGAGAAAAGTGTTAGATGGCCCTCCACAATCGGGCCAAAGCCGCTCTTCGCACCTCACGAAGCTTTCGAGCTTGTTCCGAAACCTAACCTTCACAGCATCTACGCCCTATCACAGCAAACCCTAAACCCTAAACCTAAACCCTAAACCCTAAACCCTAAACCCTAAACCCTAAACCCTAAACCCTAAACCCTACATAACCCTACTCTGAGTTCCAGACATTTGTCTCAGGAGACGGATCTCGGGTGGGCCCCCTGGCCAACGATCACCGCAAAGCTTCCCAAAAGCCTCAAGAATTCACTGGGCTGAGGGGCTTAGGGTTGAGGGCTTAGGGTCTGAGAGAGTCGTGGGGTTGTTCCAGGAGAGGGTGTTCCGAAGGCCCTACCTTTAAGGCTCCAGGCTCCATGCTGTACACTGTACACCCGACCCAGCACATCCCCTCAGCTTAGAAGCTTCGGAATGCAGCGCTTGTGGCAATGTTGCGGAAGCTGTGACTCCTGAACCAAGATCACTGGCCCTGCCTGGCATCTTTGCCTAGAGGCCTTTGGCAGTTCATGCATGTCTCGTACTTCTTGCATAAACCACCTCGCAGATATAGCAGCAAAAGGATGTCCGTCATAAGAGGCGATTCAGAAACTTTGGTTCCGAGTCAAAGGGAACGTGAAACGTGGGGGTGTGACCTCTCAATGTAATTGTTGTAATTGGGTTTCATTACGCAAGACACACAGATGTGGATTTCTTAGGGTGTGGCTCTACAATACACAGTTCCACTGACATTTAATGAAGAGGCCCCCTCAGAGGAGGATTTCATAGGGTGTGGCCTTTAAATATACAACTCATAGATGCGAATGAGGCTCAGAAGATGATATCTTGAAGTGTGGCCACACCCTCTCTCATTTTATATTGTTTTTATATATATATATATATAGAAACAATAATAATAACAACAGCAAGAAGAATATTCAGAATGATAATTAATAACAATAATAAGTGTATACTGTTGTACATTTTTTATTGTGGAGGGCCTGGTGCTTGTTTTGCAATTTGTTTGGTTCCCCAGTTTGCGCCCTAAACCTTAACCCTTAACCAAACCCGCTCTGCTGGTAAACTGAGCGGAATGGGGCTATGGGGCGAGGGGAGTTTGCCCCCCCCCCTCCCCCCCACCCCCAACCCCGCCCCCAACCCCGGCCCCGTTCCTTTTCCTTTCCCCCCCCCCCCGCCTCCCCGCAAAACGAACAAACATAATATATATATATATATATGTATATATATATATATATACATATCTGTCTGTGTGTGTGCGTGCTTGTAGAATATACACGAAAATAACCTGAATAATACTAGTAAGAGCAAAAAAAGTACTAAACATATCTCAGCGCTTTATCTTGTCTAACACAGTTCACGCTGTTTTCGACTCGGTTGCCTGACTCGCTGGGCACGGCAGGGCAGGCTTGCTAAAGACAACAAAGTCAGTTTTAACAGTATCGTTCCAACTACCATGTATGCGCATCAACCAAGAGGGCTGCTCACACGATTTGCTTTCGATAAAACCCATGACATTGTCATGTTGAAGCCTTATTCGTTCAATGCGTGACTGGGTTATGGACGGCATGCTCAATTTCAGGCCTCCCCGAAGCTTCCTGAAGCCATCTAGACGGGGGCTGCGTGAGTCTAAGCGACTCCAGCGACCTGAAAACAAATGTTGTGAAAGGTACATGGTGCTGGGTTGGAAGAAACTGTCTGGATGAGAGCCGTTGCTAAAAAGGCAACCAAGAACGCTGTTGCCCCGGGATGGCATGAACATCTGGACACGTCCCCGATATGCAGCTTTGTGGTATCCCTGCAAGCTAGGGCGTTGAGGGATGCGTGACAAGCCGCTTGCACATGCGCCAGGGAGGTGTCAGCACCACCACCACTACGACTCCCACGTTCGCTGGATTTGAGGCTGGGTGCTGTTCCGGGGGTTGTTAATTGGTTTGGCGATATGACAGCAATCATTTGTGGGCTCGCGTGACAAATTTTTTTCTTAGTTGGCGGCTTGCTCAAGTCATCCAATCCGCCATTTGGAAGAGAGAAGTTCCAGAACTAGACCTTCTAGCGGAGTCCTACTTGTTTTTAGAATGTGCTGCTTTCCTGTCATACTTACGTTACTGTGTTGTTTTTGTGGATATCGATGCAGTCGCAACATAGAAGCAAGGGCAACATGGATGTTATCATGCGGGGCCATGGATGCATTTCCAGCATAGATGTCGGATGCAGTGTCAGCGCAGACGTTATCATCGTGGGCCCAGATTGCACTCGCAACATAGATAACTCGGACGCCGGCACGGCATGAAAGTGGCTGGAACACTGCCGAGCCATGCTTCGTGAAGCGGAAGTGCCTCTGCCACAGAGGCCGAAAGCCAAACAGAACACCGGGCACAGGCTTGCAGAAGTCAAGAATCAGCGTTCTACAAAGGGTTGTTCTGAAGGCGCAGCACTTCGGGGGTGTCTGCAGGTGCGGCAGGTTTAGGGTTTAAGATTTAGGGTATAGGGTTTACGGGTTAGGGTTTAGGGTTCTCTTGACGTTTAGCCTCAGGGGTATGTGCCGGCAAGGGCACTAGAGAGCTTCATATTCAAACAAGAGCCAACGCAACGCGATCTTTTTCTGAACCCATATGGTCAGCTCTCTAAATTGTGGTCCCTTTTGGGGTGCCCGAAATAAGAGGGGCCGCCTTTTCACAAGGACCCCCCAAAAGGACCATATTTTAGAGAGACGACCATTGAACAGGAGAACGTAAAATCGGCTTGCGATCTCCGCATCGCACACGGCTAGGAGCTGACATGTCTGTGCTGCCATATGAATAAGCAAGAAGGAAGAAATGGCAACAGACAAGACACCGAAGCAACACACACAGGGTTTCGTGTTTAGGGTCTAGGGTTAGGGTTTAGGGTTTAGGGTTTAGGATTTAGGATTTAGGATCTAGGGTTTAGGGTTTAGGGTTTAGGGTTTACGGACAACTCCAAGAACCCAGCACAACATGCACGGGACCTGGGCGAGAGTGAGCGTGAACTCACATGTGCATGGATGCGGCAATACGGTTTAGGGTTTAGGGTTACCTGAAAGGGTCCACGAACCCGAATGCAGACACGTGGTGCGCGATGAGAGATCTGAGTGAAGTGTCCTATCCGTTCTCTTCTCTCTCTTAATATGTCTCTCTCTCTCTCTCTCTGTTTCTTTTCTCGCTCTCTCTCCCTCTCTTTTCTTCTTTCTCTCTCTCTCTCTCTATCTCTCTCTTATCTCTTATTTCTTATCTCTTATCTCTTATCTCTCTCTTTCTCTCTCTCTCTTTCTCTCTCTCTCTCTCTCTGATCTCTCTGTTATCTCTCTCTCTCTCTCTTTCTTTCTTATCTGTCTCTCATCTCTCTCTCTCTCTCTCTGTCTGTCTCTCTGTCTCCACTTTGTGGTTTCGACGTGAATCGACGGTTCAAAAGTGATGGCAGGACGAGGATGGCGCACCCCATGTGCCTCATCCTCAAAAGCTGCCCTTTCGCGAACCTCGACGTCCAAAAGCAACGACTGTTTCGCATTTCGCGAACCCCGACACATGCAAAAGCGACGACAGCTGTACGAAGATAGCGACGTCGATGCACATGGCGCCTATAGGCGGGAGCCCGACTTGCAACGTCGCGAATTTCAAGTCCTCTTCGTCTGGACGCAGGCAGCGAACTCCTCCATCGGCCCAAAACGCAGGATTCCACGTGCTTGCCACGTTTTGCCAACGTGGATGCGCACGGCACCTAGGCCTCCAAGATCGCGAATTGCAAATCCTCTTATAGGCACGCAGCGAACCCATCAAGTGGCAGGATTCCATGCGCCTGCAATTTTTCCTGGGGCGCTTAGCGATGCCACAAAAATAACGTAGGTGGAGAGCACGAGTTCCACCCATAAGTCAACACCACGACATGCGATGAAATGCGCACGGGGCTTACAGCAAGAGCACGAGAAGTTGGAGACATCACCCGCGCTGTGGTAAAAGTACGATTTCCGCCCAAAATGCACCGCCGCTCGAGGAAGAGTGTCCCCGTATCCATGCGCGTTTCGCGGGCGTCGATCGCGCAACTCGATCTAACCTTACACTACCTTTTTTACTCCTTTCTGTTCAACGTAGGAAGCGCTAGTGTTGGCTCACTGTTTGGGAAAGATGGAGAAGAGATTACAAAGGAAGCCGCATGGACATGGATAAGGGGAACAATTCATGCTCTCGTATCTTCTTCTCTCTTTCTTCCTCTGTCTGATCCTTCTTCTCCGTGCTTTTTTCCTTCAGTGACGAGGATAGCGCGAAAAGGAGGGGGAAAGGAAAGACGCCTTTGCCTCGCTCTCTCTCTCTCTCTCTGGCTCGATCTTCTCTTCTCCTTCTCCTCTTCGTAAGAAAGGACAGGAGCGGAAAACTCAGGGAAAACAAACCTCGACTCTTTCTCACCATCCCCTCCTGCCTTGTCTTCGAGAACGGCCAGGGAGAGCAAGAGCCAGCAAAGTAAGAGCGAAGAAACAGACATAGAAAGCAAGTGAGTTTAGGGTTCAGGGTTTAGGGAGAGGGACAAAAGAACCGTGGTGATGAAGAAAGCGGCCGAAAGGACCTTGTCCTCTGCCTCTGTCCATTTCTGGTCCCTGCGTGCCCAGAATCCCTCATCCCGATCAGTTCGAATATCAGTGCCCCAAGGACGGCATTTACGGCTGGCAAATCACGAATGGGCCAGTAGCTCAGCGCACTTCTTGCCAAAGCTTGCAAAAAAAACTGATGCAAAGGGGGGCAGAGACTGCCACGCTGCCGAGGGCTCCCACGAAGTCGAAAGAAGGCAGAAACACCCTTCATCTGTAATTCTGTACTGCAACTGTAGAAGGCTTACCCCTAGACCCTAAACCCTAAACCCCAAACCGATGGCGTCCAAGGACTTGTGTCATGGACGATGAAGGCTGCATCCAGAGCCATGAGTTCTCACGGGAAGCCATGAACTACGAACAAGTCCTCAGACATCCAGAGGATGGAGCGTGATGGAACAGGGCGGTTGCTTGTGGTTGCAGATCCGGTAACTCCACCTATACAAGCAAGGATGCGCTGGCGGGTGCGATTGGCTTTGCTTCCAGGGCAAAAAACACCTACCAACCCTAAACCCTAAACCCTAAACCCTAAACCCTAAACCCTAAACCCAAAATCAAAACACCTACCATCTCCAGGACGCGACCTGCCAGATCCGCGTGAACCCCAACAACACGCGCCTGCTGCATGTGGAGTACTGGCGCCCTGCATCCATGTTCGTGATGAATGGTGTGAACCTTGCCTCGCCACCAGCAAGCTTTGCAACGAGAATTCCAGTGCTTGCATGCGCTTGCAAATCTGCAGGCGCCTAATTGTCTGGCGTGACCTCTGTGTATTTCTTCATTGTTCCCTAAAGTGTGCCTGTGCCGTTTGTGGCTGCTGCAGCTTACGCTCCACCACTTTTGCCCGGAGGGGGTCGCTTGCACACATCACCTACTTCAGGTAGCCGGCAAAGTTGACATGATAGATGCACCCCAGAAGAAGCAGGAATGACACACAACTTGCCACTTTAGGGTCAGCGCTGGGTGATGCTAATAAAAATAAGAATAATAACAAGAATAATGATAATAATAATAATCGCACACTCCAATGAGTGCAGATCGCTCTGCGTGGGTTTGCGTGGTTGCAAGCAGATCGTCTCCCCGGCACCTGTCAGGAATTACTTCCGGCTCGTTGGTCCGCATGAAACTTGGCGGTTTAGGGTTTAGGGTTTAGGGTTTAGGGTTTTAGGGTTTAGGGTTTAGGGTTTAGGGTTTTGCTGGCGCACGAGGCTCGCTGCAAAAGGGTTTAGGGTTTAGGGTTTAGGGTTTAGGGTTTAGGGCGACACTGGAGGCGATCACACCTCAGGGCGGCATGTTCTATCGCGCTGCCTGGCGAAAGTAAAGGGGATAGAATAGAGGGGAGTTAATGGTGATCTCTTGGGATATGCAAGAGTGCTTCTGTTCTTCACAGGCCCTTTCAATGTCCGAAAAAATCATCTGAACCCAGCAAGACAGGGAATACGGTTGTCCGTCACGGATCTTTCAACAACCCATGAGGCACCAAGAAGTAGTCTTGATGGAGGCGAAGGTTGGAGACTTTGCTTGAAAGAGGCTGGGCCAGCACAATGCATGAAAGCACCCTCTGGGTTGATGGAAACACCGCACAGCATTCGTGCTCTTGTTTGACAGCCCACATGGTGTGCAGGTCAGAGATCAGGAGTTCAGTTTTGTGGAAGTTTGCTGCATATAATGGCTGCGTGAGACACTCTAGCCCGGTCGATTGCCGGCGATTCCTCCCAGTGCCTGTCTGCCATCAGGCACGGGAGCCCAGTTGGACGGTAACGTCAGGGCAGCATGCTCAGTTGCAGTTGAAGCGGTGTCGGCCATCATCCTTGTACAAGTCCATGCTTTTTCGTTTCAATTGGAGTTACGTGGGTTAAGGGCTGAAGGGAACCGGTTGCCGTGGTGAATGCTCCGGCTTGCCACGGTTCCCCGTCAGCTGTTTGGCGGGTCAGTGCAACAACCACGGACCGCTTGCACCCGAACTAGAAGAAGCCCGAAACCACTACACTTTCACTAAACCGACTACAGCAAGAACAAAAAGGACAGACTGCAAGAACATCGAAGAAGCAGAAGTGCATGTAGCCGGCAAGTAAACAGCGAGAAGGCCTGGGGCCAAGCCAAGCAGGGCCAAGCCACTGCATTTGCCCAACGCCGAAACTCGAAACCCGAAACCCGAAACCCTCAACCCTCAACCATCAACCTAGCCCTAAACCCGAAACCCCAAAGAGGCAGTGCCTGAGGCTGTGTCTGATCGATGCGGAGGATTGCCTCGTAAGCCCAAGCTATCCTGCGACAATGAGCCCTGGGCTGAAGTGCCTTGGCTCTAATTGCGGGGCCTTAAAAAATTAGAACAGGTTTAGGGTTTAGGGTTTAGGGTTTAGGGTTTAGGGTTTAGGGTTTAGGGGGCAACAAAAAAGAGTATAATTTTGAAGGGGCCATAAGGGAAGACTATAGGTAATTCTTCCGACCCCTTTTTTTAAGCAGCAGCAAGATTGTGCATGACTACAATGAAGTCTTCGACGCAGACCTGCTAAACCATCCCTCCGCTGCTGAAGCCGTTGATTTCGTTGAAACGCGTGTTTTTTGTAGGTAAAATGCATTTTTTGCACATGATTTTAATTATGTTTTTTGAAAACAAAAAGGCGCTGTTTTTTCGAGGTTTCTTCGCGCGAGTTTTTTGTTGTCTTGCTTTTATAATGAATGTTGATTACGTTGTTCCCTTACTGCCGCTTTTGCGGGATTCATCGGGGGCCCCATACCCCATACCCCGCCCCCCCACCCCCACCCCGCCCCCCCCAACCCCCCCCGACCCCCAACCCCCCAAACACGCCCAATCCCCACCCCCCCCCTTCCTGAAACAGCCTCAGAAACCTTAAAGTGCCGCTAGCTAAAACACATAACGCAAAGTGACAAGCTTGGGCCAGGTGCGAGATCGAAATGAAGCCGGGCGTCATCAAGGCAATCGAAGCTCGAGACTGGGTACATGCGCCGAACGATGACTTTCAGGACTTTGGGGTGATGATGATCAATAGTCAGCCGCTGAGCTCAAGAAAGCCAAACTTTGGGGGATTGGTCAGTTTTGTTGATGTTTTTCTTTGGTGGAGACTGGTTTGTTGCACAAGCTGACTACTACAAGAAGAAGTCAGAGCTTGAAGTTCGTTCAGCAAACATGGCAAGTATAGTCGTTCCCATACGTTGAGCTCAAGTACTCTGCACCTAGCAGTACTAGCAGCCTAGTTTAGGGTTTCGGGTTTAGGGTTTGGTTGGCGACCCTCGACCCTAAACCCTAAACCCTAAACCCTAAACCCTAAACCCTAAACCCTAAACCCTAAACCCTAAACCCTAAACCCTAAACCCTAAACCCTAACCCTAAACCCTAAACCCTAAACCCTAAACCCGGCAGTTAAGTCCGGCTGATGGCATCCTTCGGCTGAGGCCCTATGGAGCGAGGCGGGCCCCCCCGGAGGGTGTGGTGCCTGTCGGGACGCTCAAGTTCTGGGGGCAACGGGCCGACGAGCAGCCCAGTGTCTATGAAATGCCCCTGGGTTGAAAACCCTAAACCCCAAACCCGAAACCCTAAACCCTAAACTCCCTAAACCCTAAGCGGATGCCAAAAAATGTCCAGCTATGCGGGTGCAAAAAAACCCTAAACCCTGTGTCATCCTGTGTCTAACTAGCTTTTGACTTTCAAAGAGAATGATAGATGTATGGCTCACTCAGTGATTTGGCATAAATTTGGGAGTTTCCGAAAATTTCGGGTACCCTTTTTGGGGGTCCCTTTAAGGGGATTCTATTCTGTTTGTCGTATGAAAGGGGCACCCCTATTTAGGAAATACCCATTTCGGGATCTCATTTGATGAGGAGGGCCGGGGTGAGGATGGAGGAGGGAAGGACGGATGAGAAAGAATGGAAGATGGACCTACTTGTATCAGCGATGTGCCTATCCACCATTTCGTATGTGCCACCCCCTCGAGTATCGTAGAGACTGGTACCAAGTATGAGAAATGGGTCCTGTAGGTACTATAGAAAAACTGCCCGGCCAGGACTCCTAAACTGCATGACCTTTCATGTCAGCAGGTTAACAAAGGCTATGAGCCATTTAGCCATTTGGTGATTTTATGATGTGGTGCGAAGTGGTCAAGGGTTCTGTGTCGGGCTCATGTTTGGTGACTCGCGATGCGTTCCTGCAGCATGCTGGGCTGGAATCCAGTACAGCATGTAATAAAGGGTGAGGGCTCATGTTGGCGATTCCATGCATGATGACACGTCTGCAGTACACTATGAGTCACTTATACGACAGTGACATGTTGAGGTGTATTCTGGGGATGCGTTGCAGCGGGTTGCGATGTGATGCTGACGTGGTGACGTGATGGCTGCTCATTCGTGACGAAACGTCGAAGCGTGGCGGAATGATGAACGGCGCTGCCGCGATGAGGCTGCATGTGCTGCGAGGTCCAAGAATGAATACCGTGGCGTGAGGGTGCGCGACGTAAGCAAGTACGGAAGCTTAAGGAAGCGATGGGGTGCGGCGACAGAAGCGACATAGTAGCAAACTATGTGCTTTCGATTGCACGGCCCCGCGCTCCGAACCAATTCCTCTGTCTAAGCGCTTCATACGTAGGCGACGAGGGTTGGCTTCGATACGTGAAGGTGGGGGCACATATGCAGAGCTCTCGGCTCAGGTTGAACCGCATTCGACGCATGGACCCGGATGCCGTGACTGAGGAGGCCCTCGTTAGGTCGCAAAGTCCCTGTGTCACACTTTGCGTACTCTTTGCGTGCTGCACGAAAGCAGGTGCTCGAACAACTACGTGCAGCTACTACACAGCCGCGCTGGATACCTGCAAAATTCCGGCTATGCCTGAAGGAGGCCGAACTGGCTTTCATCCACAACATCACGGCTTCCCTCTCTACAACTAGAACTTCCAATGCGCTCTGCTAGCCTGTGCTTTACCTTACTTAGTCTATAGTTGAACTTTGAACTTTTGGGGTTCCTTATTTGGTAAGAAAAACGAAAGTTTACGCTGCTTTCCCCGTGGTTATTGGAGAAGTATGTTACACCAGCACATGTTGTGACTTTGCATCGGGTGAGTGTAGGGCCAGTGTAGGGGATGTTATGATGGCACCTTGTGGCTCTTGGTAAGCTTGCCGGACTACTTGGAATTTGGAACTTGGACCTGAAATCTGAGAGCAAACAAGAACGGGATCGCTTAGTGGTTGATTTAATTAAAGTCAGAATGCCATTGTTGCCAGGGCTCGGGGTTGCTTATCCGCGTCTAGCTGCCGTTTCGGGATCTTTGAGCAAGCACCCTGCAAGCTCTAAAGGCATCATGCGTCACACGCCCTTTAGCATCTGGAACATCCCTTTCCCAAGTGTGTTCAGTCAGTGACATTCACAGCCAGGGCGATTACACGACCACCACGACCACCACAACAGAGGCCGTGTGAGGGTGAGGGTGTGGATCTTCACGAAGGGTAGCGCAAGGGCGGGATGCTCAGAGGAACAGCAACCCTAAACCCTAAATCCTAAACCCTAAACCCTAAACCCTAAACCCTAAACCCTAAACCCTAAACCCTAAACCCTAACCCTAAACCCTAAACCCTAAACCCTCTAGAATTTGCAGCTGGGTGGAATGGCTTTGGGACTCAGTTCGGGAGAGCTTCATCAGCCTTTGGCTGCCTTCGTGGCAAAGCTAGGGGAGGACGCCAGGGTTTAGGGTTTAGGGTTTAGGGTTTAGGGTTTAGGGTTTAGGGTTTAGGGGCACACAAGCCTTACATCGCGGCTCCCAGGCCCAAAGGCTGCTTGATCCTGCTTGGTCGATCTGTTGGGCCCTGACTGCTCCCGACTTTGTAAACTCGTGCGGATTATGGTCTACAAAACCAGGAAGCCTTGAGCAGGGTGTAAGGGGCAGCGTTCAATACAACCGGGCACGCCAATGCAATCAGCAGAATGTTGAAGGTAATGTTGACCTCGAGCTAATAATCCCACCCGCCCCCCCGTCTCAATTGTTTTTTTGTTTTTGCACCGACCCCCTATTGGGGGGGGGGGGGGGGGCTCGGGCTGTCCCGAGCCGCCCCCAAGCCCTGACCTACCCAAAAGGGCCCATAGAAAAAACAAAAATCGGTCCCGGTCCGGGATTCCTTAATTGAGAGGGGGTGTATCTGAGGTTAACATTAGAGGACTCCTTGTCTAGACCCGAGAGCGCTGCTTTCACCAAGAGGTCATTACTCATGGATGGCAAGTCGAGGGGTTGCGTCCTCAGCTTTCGCTTTGCTTCAGGGGTTTGGCATTTGCTGCTGGGAATGGAGGGAGGGAGACAGAGAGAGGGAGAGAGAGAGGGAGGGAGAGAGAGAGGAGAGAGCGAGAGTGATGGGGTAGCTTGAGGGAGGACTTCGTGTTACCTCGCTTAGGGGTTTTGGTTCGAGGCGATTAGGTTGAGCAAGTTGGCAGCCTGTTTGAGCCCCCAGTAAAGAGCCAGTGAGAAAGAGTAGGTGAGTGGGCAGTTTTGCAAGGCCCACGAGTGTCACCAAACGGGGTCAGGCATCAGGCCTGGGGGCACTAAGGACCGCTAGGGACCACTAAGGACTGGGAGGAGTTTTGGGCTACAGTAGGGAACTATGTAGACCAACAAGAAAACTCTCCACATTAGCAAAGCCTGTTGCCCCTTGTTGCTTCACAACTTCAGCCCCTTACCTTCTTTTCGCAAGTTCTTGTGCTGCAACGGACTCCAGAAGCTTACACGTACCAGTAGCTGAGATTAGCATGGTCGTGAGGGCGTAGGGCTGAGGAGGTGTGGGGTGTTCGGAGTGTGGCAGGTCAGGAGGCTTGGGCGGGGGGGCGGGGTGCTAGAAGCCCCTGGGAGCCAGTGCCACGGCAGACTACACGGACAACGCAACAAGGGAGTGAGAAAGGTGCAGCGTGTTCACACGCATGGAGAGGGCGCCAAGTTAGAGGATGGGCAACGCTTTCCCCTGCGATGGCGTGCATGGCTTCCCCCGATCTAACATGTCAGGCATAGCCCCTGGGGGGCATCCGAGGAGGGACAGCCACGTTGGGGCCTGGAGCTGCTTCCCGCATGCCCGGAAGAAGAAGATAGAAGATAGAAGATAGAAGATAGAAGATAGAAGATAGAAGATAGAAGATAGAAGATAGAAGATAGAAGATAGAAGATAGAAGATAGAAGATAGAAGATAGAAGATAGAAGAAGTGAAGTGAGGTGAGTGAGCGAGTGAGAGAGTGGCTGCGGCGGCAGAACTGCCCAAGGCATCATGCCGTGCAGCTCCGATCGCCTCAGAAGTCGAGGGGAGGGGAGTGATGGGGAGTGTGTACATTGCTCCGGCTGGTTTATTCTGGTCAAACTTGGGTGCATCCGGAAACGGGGTTTAGGGTTTAGGGTTTAGGGTTTAGGGTTTAGGGTTTAGGGTTTAGGGTTTAGGGTTTAGGGTTTAGGGTTTAGGGTCTCTCCCCAACTGACCAAGTGGATCACTCCCTTCGCGGCGACCCTCAGTGGAGGGTTCAATGCGAGAAGAAGAAAGGGAGGAAGGAAGAAGTTGCGAAGCAAGTCAACCCCAGCGACATGAGAAAGTGGGGCGGATACAATAGCGCCGCCGGCTGTCCTCATAAAAATTTGCAAACCTCAAAAGCACGTGATCTGAGGCCATGCATGGGTCCAGGATTCTCAGCTCCGAACGGCTGCTTCTCCAGCCATGACAGAATCTTCCAGAGCTACGGCCGCGGGGATGCGTGCACCATCAATATCCCGGAGAACAACGAGCTCAGGCTCCGGTTTGTGAAACGCCTTGAGGGGATTTAAGGGCTGGGGTCCGCATGCCGGCATTTTCAGGCCATCTCGCACGCTGAGACACCACGTCCGCGCACGCGCACGCAGACACATGCACACACGTCACACACACCACACCCCCACACACACACACACACACACACACACACACACACACACACACACACACACACACACACACAACCACACACACAACCACACACACAACCACACACACAACCACACACACAACCACACACACAACCACACACACAACCACACACACAACCACACACACAACACACACACAACACACACACAACCACACACACAACCACACACCAACCACACACCAACCACACACCAACCACACACCAACCACACACCAACCACACACCAACCACACACCAACCACACACCAACCACACACCAACCACACACCAACCACACACCAACCACACACCAACCACACACACAACACACACAAACAACACACCCTCCACTAAACACACACAACAACACACCAACAACAACACACAACAACCCCGACACACAACCACACACAACACACAACACAGAACACACACACACACAAACAACACACACACAACACACACACACACAACACACACACACACACAACACACACACACACACACACACACACACGACACACACACACACACACACACACACAAACAACACACACACGCACACACACACACACACACACACACACACACACACACACACACACACACACACATCACACACACATACACACACATCACACACACACACACACATCACCAACACACACACACACACACACCACACACACCACACACACCACAACACACACACACACACACACACACAACACACACACAC